ACAAGAACACCCCTTTCAGCTAGTGTTATGTATCTTCATTCTTCTTAATATAAAAGATTTTTATTAAAAAATAAAGAAAAATGAGACCCCCCTTCCACCTCTTCCTCCTCCCCCTCCTTCCTCCTCATCGCCCTCCTCTTAAGGRAGCTTACGCCTCCTTGTGTTTGGGAGGCTTACACCTCATGCCTCTCTAGGTAGTGGAACACCTCACATCACGCCTCGGCATTTTAAAACATTGGGMAAAATTAATATCGAAATTATGAACCATGGTTAAGCATCCTAGAAACTTCAGGATAGTAGGTTCTTTTTAGTATGTAAATGTGACAAGTCTATATAAATCAAAAAGTTAAATGGGACAGAGCCCCTTTACAACAGAATACCACTAAGGTTATGCTCTCATTCACAACAAAAAAATGTGAAATTTTCAAGCATACAAATTGCACTAGAATCGATGCCTAAAAATAGCCTATATATTCTACCTTCCCAAAGAAAGCGATCATATTATATTTATTGTTTTCAGGCATTCTGTTGTTTCTGACTCTATAGAGGCTGCAACAAATGGGAAATGGAATCGGATTACATAGAATGGTTCCTTGTTTRTTGTAGCCATTCACTAGCTGGGAATCTGCCAACATAGCCAAAACACTTGGGACAACTTGGTTTCTACTAAATAAAATAACAAAATGGTTCTAGACTTTTATAGGATAAGGCATTGCTGAATTGAATTGAGTTGATTCCAAGCCTCAGCTCACTAAGGATAATGAATGCTTCCTTGTTTGTTGTAGCCTTTCACAAGCTGGAAATCTGCCAACGCAACCAAAATACTTGAGAGATCATAGTGGAGGGTCATAACCTCAAAGAATCTTTAATTGGAGAAATATAAATCAACTCCTTTAGATGTACGTACAAGAGTTTGGCCCCTGTCATACTCACAGGTTCTCCTAACTTGCAATCAGATTGATTTCTTAGTCCTTAAGTTCATCAACTCTTCCTTTCTCAGGAATGAGAGCTATGTTGGGTGCTCTATACTTCTTTAAAATAATTAATCATGTGCAATTCCTTTAGGGCATCTAAGGTCCCTCCACTATGATCTCCCAACACCTATTATAGAAATTGAACCACCAAGCCCCAGTGACCTATCCCCATAATTCCCCATCTTTTAAATCATGTACTTTCATCAAAAGGATTTAAACAAATCACCTAATCAACATACGAGCTCTCACATCAACCCCTGCAAACAAAGGACTGTAGCAACATGCTTCAAGCAGAAGTCTTTTTGCAAGATTGAAGTTTCCCTTCCCCGATATGATTTCTAAATCATATCGGAATAAAGAGCTCTCAAGACAGGCATGGGTCCCGCTTTGAAGAGTTCATACAACATAGGAATTTCTGTAAAAAGAAATATAGGAGAATAAAACATTCACTGGTGGATAATCAGTGGGCTAACATAGAGATATTCTAAATATAATTTAGGGGAAAATATATTTAGCAAATAGAGAGCAGCATTTCACAATCTGGGAGATAGCTTATGTTCAGGCCTAAACAAACAAAACTAAAAAAATAACAAGTAAAAAAGCTCAGCTATGAAAACCATTTCCAAACAAGAGTTTTTTTCATTATTAAAGAAGAGAAACTAACCAGCCACGAGTTTGATCAAGCCCCTCAGCCACAAAATGCCCAGGAAAATTATTTTCAAATAGCTCAACATTCTCAAATGGATAATGGATATATGCATACGGCATGGATCCACTCTCAAACCAGCAATCAAAAACCTGTGAAGTAAAGCATCCATAAAGTGAAAACTATGCAAAAAGAGAAGCCAACTGTTCAAAAAGTGGGAAAGCAGGACACTCTGTGACAACAAATTGTAAATTTACACGTTCATGTGATACAAATGCACCTAAAAACTCAGGATGTTCTCAGATAAAGCTAGGAGTGAAAATGGATTGGATTTATTCTGATACAAATACAAACTCAATTCTTTTAAGTTTGATTTGGATGTACATTTAGCCATAACCAGTAAAATTCTCATACTGCTTCATTTGATCTGCTGCTAGTGTGTATATTTTAGTACTAAAATTCTTTAAAATTAAATTGGATTTGGGATTTAGATAGACTTTTTATTTATGGTACATATTTTTATTGATGCTTAATTTTATAAATTTATGCCCATATCTTAATCGAACAGATATCATGAGAGAAAAAAGAATCAAATTTGAATATATGTTTCACATATCAGAATACAATCTAATCCATTTGTAGTCCAACATAAAGCATGGTATATGTYTTAACCATGCAGCAGAGAGAGTAAATAGAACCATGCTATATGCAAAAATTTGAATGCATAGAGCCAACATGGAATTTTTAGAAAACTAAAAGTGATGGCACATTGAGGAAAGGATTAAAGGGATATGTTTATTTCAA